GCTGTGTTGGAGGACAGTGCATCACCAGCTGGGAGGTTGTCCCTACAGCCACTGTGAGCAGGCTATGTTGGAGGACAGTGTATTACCAGCTGGGAGGTTGTCCTCACAGCCACTGTGAGCAGGCTGTGTTGGAGGACAGTGCATCACCAGCTGGGATGTTGTCCCTAAGGCCATTGTGAGCAGGCTGTGTTGGAGGACAGTGTATCACATGTTTATCTCTCAAGAAAAATATGAACTATGTAGGAGGTCCTAAAATATATGTTAATTCAAAGAATCTCAGATTAGAAAAAAAATCTAAGAGTCCAGCTCTCTGACCTTGCTGACCTCCAGCCTTGGCTGTGTATGTCACCAGGGGCAGGAGATTCTTTCCACCAAGGTAAAATTACTTCTCCATGACTGCCCATCACATTTGGAAAGCAGGGCAGCACCTGTGGCTCAGTGGGTAGGGCTCTGGCCCCATATACCGAGGGTGGTGGGTTTGAACTCGGCCCTGGCCAAACTGTAACAAAAAAATAGCTAGGCATTGTGGCAGGTGCCTGTAGTCCCAGCTACTTGGAAGGCTGAGGCAAGAGAATTGTCTAAGCCCAGGAGTTAGAGGTTGCTGTGAGTTGTGTGACATGACAGCTCTCTACCAAGGGCGATAAATGAGATTTTGTCTCTACAAAAAAAAAAAAAAAAAAAAAAGGAAAAAAAATAAAACATTTGGAGGGCAGCATTCACTTTAAGTCACAGGGACCAGTTCAGACCAACACAAGGGGTTTGCTTTGTTCTCTGTATGTGTTGAGTTTCACCCTTTTGCTCACACTGTTTACTTAAGTTGCTTCAATCAGTCCTGTCATTACCCATCTTAAGGCGAGGAGATTTAGGCACAGATGGGGGAGGAATCTGACTCAGCCACCCAGACTGCACCTGTGAGCAGCAGAGCTGGGTTTGACACAGGCGACTAGCTCCTCTATTTTCACTGCCCTGCTGAGCTGGATGAGCTTTAATGATGGAACTGTACCTCCATTTACTGCATACATGTTTAATACATTTCTGTTTAATCTAGGGACAAATAGCCTCACATAGCCAAAGAGCCCCCAGAAGAACCAACATTTTAAGGCCTAGGACCCCCCTAAACTGTATGCTCACCAAGGGTGGCCCCATGTGACTAGGGAAGGGTCAGTCATGCTCTGAACCCCCCATTTCAGAGGGCAGGAGAGTTTTTCACTTGGACTGGCTGAAGTCACTTTGGCTGTGGGTACCTATAAGGGAATTGCCTGGCTTTATCTGGTATACTTACTGGGAACATCTCTTCACCTAATACCAGATAAATAAGGCCTCATTGTCCAGAAAGCAGGAGGGGAGGGAGGCAGAGACAGGAGATGAAAGCCACGGCATGGCTGTGGCTCCCAGGCATGTCCTGGTGGTTGGGGCATCCAGGGAGAGGGAAGAGAGCTGAGCTGCTGCCTTCAGACAGAACCCAAAGGGAGCATTCCATCTGTGTTTTCTGTTTAGATACAGACATGGTCATCATCTACCTGTCAGCTGGCATCACATCAAAGGACTCTTCAGAAGAAGATAAAAAGGCAACTCTCCGTGTCATCAATGAAGAAAACAGCTTTCTGAACAACTCCGTGATGATTCTCACCTATGCCCTCATGAACGGTAGGTAGTGTTTCAGGACTTTTCTTTTAGATCAGAGATCCCTCTAAGTATATGCTGCTTTAAAAAGGGAGAAGCAGGACCCAATGGTGGGCTTGGATGAAGCCACATGCAGACACAAGCCCTTCCTCCGCCTGCTCGGTGCTCAGGGCTCGTGGAGAGGCCCCTCCTCTTGGGCTCTTTCCAGCCAGCTCCTCTTTCCTAAACCGTCTCTGCTCATGTGGCCTTGCAGAGGATTTTATACAGCTCCTTTTATCAGTTCTCCTTCCTTTCCTAGGATTATTTAAGGCTTTAACTCATCTTGTGGGTTGAAGCTACAGGAACCAGATCACTGACCTAGATTCTTCCATATAGCCAAATCTGCAAACCTCACGCTTCCCTGAAGGATCACAGTGTGAAGGCCCGCCTCCACCTTCTCCACCTTCACCTCTTAAGCTGAAAAGTGGAGATAAGAATTACCTGGCTTTCAGAGTTGTCATGAGGATAAACTGAATGTGCAGTGAATACCCAAGACAGTACCTGGCACTTGCTAGGTACTTGTTAAATTTGACTATGTTGTGCTAAATGCAGTATGTGAAAGGGCTCAGCAAACTGGCAAGTGGGAGCTGATAATCCATTTTTGCCCTTCTACTCTCCACCCTATCATCCAATCTGAGCACAGCACAACCTTGCAGCCTTTGTGCTGCCCTCTGTGTCTGCCAATATGCATGTCTCTCCGGATACATGGGTCTCTGCTAATACATGTATCTGTCTGCCAGTAGGTCACGTCTCTGCTGATACGTCATCTCTCTGCAAATACACGTCTCTCTGCGAAACATCTGTGTCTTTCTGCCGATATATCTTATTCTCTGCTGATATGTGTCTCTCTGCCAATATGTCTTCTGTCTCTCTGCTGATATGTGTCTCTCTACCAATATGTCTTCTGTCTCTCCACTGATACATCTTATATCTCTCTGCCAATACACATGTCTCTGCCGATATGAGTTTCTCTCTGCCAATGTGTGTCTGTCTGCCAATACGTCTCTCTGCCAATATGCATGTGTCTGCTGTGTCTCTCTGATCTTGGCTTTTCTCTCACAGCTGCTTCTCGGCCCCCTGCCCTCAGTACCCAAGATGCCATGCTGTCTTCCCTTGTGTTCACGATTCTGCAGCCTTTCCCACCTGCAGCCATTTATTTTTCTCCACTTCCAAATCTCCACAGAGAGCCATGTGGTTTTAGGGATGGAACTTCCCATGTTTTAATGTGCTATAGGTTACTTTGGGAGTGGTTTTTGAATGCAGATTCCCAAGCACTGCCTCTGATTTAGACCTCCTTAAGGCGGCTTCCACAAACTGTTTTGGCTGGGGTGATTCTCTTCCAGATGTTTTAGACCACCCCCGAAAGTACACAAGCTCTGATGTCCCACAGTCCTTAGTTGCTGATATTAGGTATATGGCTAGTGGCAGGGCCCTTGATCTCTACACATCAGTGTTATCTGAGAAATGAGAATAATAAAATCTACTTCTGTGATGACATACCAACAGTTCAAAGCTCTTAACAAAGTCCCTGGTAAACAGTAGGTCCTCAAAGCAACTGGACTGAACAAGAGTCACATGGCTTCCAACTCCAGCACAGCTCTGAGCACATACTGCAGCTGCCAGGATAAGGGCTCTGTGTGGCACCCTCCCATGCTGTGCCAATTAGTGTGTGTCCTGCTGTTCTGCAGTGAGCTGCTCACACCAGTCTCCGCTTCCATCTCCCTCCGCTTTCCATAAGAATGTCGGCTTCTTGGGCACAGACATGTCTTAATTTTCTTTGTGTTCTGAGCATTTCACACAGGAATGGGCACAGGTGAATTATGTAAGGACAGCTGCTTTTGTCCCCAGACCACACCCTTCAGTGCCATCTTTGGTCACCTGTTGTTCTTTTCTACTTTGGGTCAGCTTCTGTCATTCATGAGTGGAAGAGAAAGGAAGGAAGGAGAATGAAAAGGAAAAAATGGAAAGTACGGAGTCCCTGTGGTGCATAGTAACTGAGTCCCTTGGTGCACAGCAGGGGCACTGACCCTTCAGAGCTGTAGCAGCCAAAGCCCATCTTCTTGACACCCATAACCTGCTGAGGAGGTGGACAGACTGGAGGGGGGGACTAGATACCCCAGCAGAGGTGCTTTTCCACCTGATTCGGCAGGTAGGGAGGAGTCCTTGCTGTCACCATTTCTCCTCCCCCTATGCCATCCACCAGACCCCTTGTAGGTTTGCTGGGCCCCTGATAGCTCCACACTGGACACCTCCAGGCACTTTGTCTAACCATCCTTATCAATTTCTCCCTTAAGCCAGACACACATCCTGTGGCTAGTTTTCTCTTTCTCTCTAAGAACTGCATTTCTGAGTGTCATTCATCAGGGTAGATATGTACCCTTACTCTGTCAGTTAGGGTTCAAATACAGAAGCAGAGCCTCTCTAGGAATTTTAGAGGAAAGAAGGCATTCTCAGAACAAGAATGCAGAACAAGAAAGTGAGAAAAACTAGAGAAGTAAAGGTCCAAAAAGTGCAGTTGAGAACTCAGAGAAAGTTTAGTAACCGGGTCAGGGTTGTGGGGACGTCTGGATGCTGGGAATATTGACCCCGCCCTGGGTACCTGGGAGGGAAGGCATGGCTCTTATAACCGCTGGCCCTGAGTATTCTCAGTGGAACATCTCACACAAGCCTGAGGCTGCTAGTGGGCGGGTGGGATGAGTGCAGGTCAGAGACCAGAACGTCTGGTCCTTCTGGGTCACCACCTCCTACTTTTCCTTCCAAATCTCCCACTACAGCCCTTCCCTTTTGGCACCTTTAACCTGGAAGCGCATAAGAAAGGGGTTCTGGGAAATGTAGTTTCTCGTGTGATCACCTTGTCAGTAAATTAGCCCAGCACAGCTGGTGGGCCACTCCTGACCCGTGGCCCCTTGCCTACCAGCGTTTAACAGTAGAGTGACACGGAGTGACATGGATGCCCTCCACACTGCTCTTCTTTGCCAGCAGATAATTCTGACTTAATTTGGTGCAGGTGTTGGGTTTTTCTTTCCTTTCTTTTAGCAGTGCATGAGTGGAATAAAATTTAAATTTATTTAAATACATTATTTTAAGGAAAAAATTATATCCATTAGATTCTCCCAAAATTATTATGCTCCCTGTGTAGGAATGGTAAAGACACATAGAAGGTGAGCTGTGAAATCTTCAGATTAGTGACTGAACAGTCCATGGTTTCTGTTGAAATCTGTAAAAACATGAAGCAAGAGACTAAAAGTGTCTGAGTTTCCTTACAGCGTACCCATATGTGATTGGTTTCTAATTATCTTGATTGAGTTCCAACAATATCAGAAAGAAAACAGAAGCGTTTATTAAGTTTATATTTCTGTGTTATAGATGATAGATCGCACAGACCAGTAGGTCCCAGGATGCCTAAATCTTATGCAAAATTTTCAAAACCCTCTAAAGTTCAAAAAAATACATTAAATAAATTCAATATTATCCTAAAAACATCAAGTATGAAATTATTTGTAAATAAAATGAGCTTAAAGAAACAGGGTTTGGGGGATCACAACATGTACTTTATAATTCTTTCATTTGGCTGCATGAGATTTTTGGCAAATTGCAGGCGAAGAGATAAGAAATGAAATGGTAGGCTCTTTCTTTTAAAGAAACCCTTACAGTGTCATCTACTGCTTTAAATTAAATGCAACTTGTTAATCATTACTTGATTTCAAATATTAAATGCAGAAAAGAATTTAAATTTTCTAATTAAACATCTAGAGAGAATATGCTCATACTGAGTGGTACTCCCTTATTTATGAGGGTGCTTTTTCATATTGGTTTTTGAAGAATCCCTTTCTCCTCTTGGCTCTTTAAGGAAAGACTATGCCTTAGGCTTTGTCTCTTCAGCAGGGGCTGGGATTTGTGTCCTGAGTCCATGCAGTCTTTGCAGGGACAGTTTGGCATTGTGGCCTCACCATGCACATATTAGACTCCAGCCGGACACTGTGGGTATGACCCATCCTGTATTGTGTGTTTTCTCTTGGCCTTCCACTTAGATGGTGTGACTGGTTTGAAAGAGCTGGCTTTTCTGAGGGATCTGGCGGAACAGAACTCAGGGAAGTACGGAGTGCCAGACCGGACCGCTTTGCCTGTGACAAAGGGCAGCATGATGGTGCTGAACCAGCTGAGCAACCTAGAGACCACGGTTGGCAGGTTCTACACAAATCTCCCCAATAGGATGATCGACGAAGCTGTCTTCAGCCTTCCTTTCTCTGATGAGATGGGAGATGGTGAGTTTAGAGAAAACTTCCTATTAAAGGGAGAGGAAAGAGACTGGCAGGTCTCCTTCAGGGCCTAGCCTGCTGCCTAGTAGTGCTGGGTCCCAGAGCAGATACCCATTCTCAGCAGACATGTGGACATGTCATCCCAGGAGGCTCTGTGAGGCGGAGACAGTGTCCAAATGTTAGTGAATTGGGCCTGACTGGTAGGTTTGTGTCATAGGTGGTAAATAAAACTCAGAAGTGCTTAGGACTCAGCTCAAAGACAGGGCAATGGGTATGGTCACAGCAGCTCCAGTGTGGCGTCCATCCCTGTCAGGGCCCTCTCCCACCTAGGTCATGGTCATGTCTGGGTAAGGCCATCCCTGTCAGGGCCCTTTCCCACCTGGGTCATGGTCATGCCTGGGTAAGTTATTTCATCCTGTTACTCCCCATTTGGTCATTTGTTCACAGAGTAATAAAATCTTTCAGATTATTAGGATTATGAAGTAATGATATATAAGATTTATCAGCAGCTGGCATTGTACTCAGTTACAATTAACTATTCTCATGGTATTTCTATGACTAATTACTTGGCCTTTCTTGATAATCATTATTATTATCACCCTTATGCCTAAGTCACCCATATGATGTAGGGTAAAATGCTTAACCTTCACATGATTCGATTTCCTGACATGTAAAATAGAAAATATACTATTTCCCACAAGGTAATTATGATATTAAATGCAATAACGTACGTTAAGGTGTCCAGAACAGTGCCTGGCAGACAGCATGTTCTTGGCACGAGCGCAATCTTCTCTTTTCCTGACCCATATTCTCACTCATCCATTTCCAGTATCCTTCCTTCTCACCTTCCTTGGCAGATTAAAGAGGTAGCTAATTACTAGCCAGACAGACAACACCATCATTTGACGTCTTGTTTTTATGTTCAGTTAACTAGTTTTCACAAATATAGACATTCAAAGGACACATTTGTGTAAAAAGTAACAATTCTATAAAGAATGTGTTTTTTAGAAACTAGTTAAGAAAGGACTATGCCAACTGCTATTAGGCCTTACTTTTATGTCCTTCCTGTTTCTGGCAGGGCCCACAGACATGTATACAGTACAACCTCCTGCCTTTCTTTCAGAGTGAAAATACCACATCATGGATGCGAGGTGCCTTTATGTACCTAGCATTATTGGGTACCCGGGAGAAATCATAAGGTGCACATCCTGCCCTCACTGAGCTTTCAAATAGAGCCCATTCCTGTACAAACTCAGAGAATTATGTAGCCAGATTCTGTTACACATAGTGACATAAGCTAGGGCAGGGCCCTTTCTAAAACTGACCTCCACAGCTCAGAAAGCTACCCTAAATGCTTTAGACCACATCACAGGCAAAATTTGCTCACCTGTTGGCTGATGTCATCCAGATTCCAGCACTCAGACCCTATGTTTTGAATCCTGCTGAGAATGTGTCTTCAGCTTGGTGTTTTCAGTGCCTAGAAATCCTGGGCAACCTAAGGGTCCAGTGTAGGGAAACTTGTTTATAGAGCTCTAATCCAAAATCCACACAGATTAGAAATCAGTTATTGAACTTTTTTTTAAAGCAAGTCTATATATAGATTGTTTGAGGATTTTGTCAGCATAGTGAGAGTTTAGCATACTTTATTTGTCACAGTGGAATCAAGAATCTTCTCTACCAATTGATAATTGAAAAATAAGATTGTGTTTCTTTTTAATATTTTGTCTCAATATATCCAGAGGAGAATAGAAACCTGAAGTGAGCATGTGTTTTAGCCACAGAGTATCTCTATTGTACTTCACTGATACATGAAAATGACTTTAATCTCAGACTCCAGCTCAGGGGATTGGTGTGCAGATGTGACCTCTGTGCTGGTTGCCCCAGCCTACTCCTAACACTTAGGACCCACTCATCCAGGGAGACTGGAGAGAAAACTCTCCCCAAAATGCATTTCTAAACCTTCTTAAATACCTCTTATTTTTAAAAGCCTTTAAACAGTGGGTAGATAGCGTTCTCCTAAATGTGAGATGCTACGTGATGCTCTGAAACTATGACAGACATCTGTACGTGACTCTCTCAGTGCTGTGTCTAGTTCTTCCTACCAGGTAACCTATTTAGTTAGCCTTTATGGCCATGGAAACTTGACAGTACCTCAAGTACATGTGATTTTTCTGTGTGGAAGCCTTGAAGAGAGTCCTAATTCTTTTCCTGGTTATTCCTAGACAGTGGCCTTCCAACAGGCTGCTAATGGGTGAACATATCACCAAGCACAGGAAAGAAAACACAAGTTCAAGATGGAGAGAAGAGGTTCATAGGATTATAAAATTCTCATGGATCACAGAGATCATTTTGTCTCCACTCCCCATCTGACACATGAGGAGACTGGTTCACAGAGGTGGCAGAGCAAGAGAGAAGCCAGGGGACCCAGGTGTCCTGGCTCTGGGCCACATACTGGCTGCCATTCCCACTCTCTCCGTCTGTTTCCTCCTCTGGGCTTTGCCCTTTCCCTGGTTAGCCCATTACTTTTTATGGCCTGTTAGCTAATCATGGTCTTTGTGTTTCGAAAGAACATGCACAAGAGACTGTATGGCCCACAAAACCTAAAATATTTATTGTCTTTACATAAAAATGGGGAAACTCTTAGCCCAAGTGACTAGAAATATATTACTTTGGAATTTGATTTCTCCCTCAGCTATTCAAAGTTCTATATGGTCAGATAACTGTAGCTTTCTAAGTTTTTCCCCTGATCTTCCTAATTTTTGAAAGGATGCAAATTTCTTTGGCCCTTTATATATACTTTTCTCCCATTCAAACTTGCTTATCTGGCTGTGGGCAGAGGGAGTGCTTGATAACGGGATCATGCAGGCTGCATTTCTTCCAGCAGAAGACAGCTGATGAGCCCTCATGACTAACTGGGGCCCAAGTCCTGTTTTGGCCTGGTGCCTCCTGCTAGTCTTTGATTTTTTTTTTTTTTTTTAACCCATAGGTTTGATAATGACTGTGAGTAAACCCTGTTATTTTGGAAACCTGCTTCTGGGAATTGTAGGCGTGGACGTGAATCTGGCTTACATCCTGGAAGACGTGACGTATTACCAGGACTCTTTGGCTTCCTATACTTTTCTCATAGATGACAAAGGTAATCAAAAGTTGATCATAGAAAGAATAGAGTTTTTAGAGACCTTCCTTAAGGTTCCACACATTTCAAGAAAAGCAGCGTGGCCAGGACCACTGCTCAGGAGTGGCCAATCACCGAGATGGCAGAACCCATCTCTAGAGTGTGTGTCTGTTTCTATCTGTGCTATGGAGCGTGGATAACTCTGTGACCTCGGGATTGAGTGACACATAGATTGTTATTATTTGGATCATCTTGTTGCATATATCATCATCTTTACTGGCATTCAGGTTTATTTGGTAGATTAGAATATCTTATAAAATGTAAACAACCACCAATACCTCCAAAATATTCTTTATCAGAGGGATGTTTGATAGTTTAAGACCTCTTTCAATCCTTCATAGTTTGATGCAAGTACACATAAAACAGTCCAGTTTTATTGAGCCGGTGAGTTACAGCCTACAACCTGAGTACTGGGCAGCCATCCCGGAGATCCCACATTTCAGGCCAGTGATGGACATTGTTACTGAGTCCATACTTCCTATGACAGGTCTCTTTATAGCATGTACTTTTCTTTTAATTTCAGGATATACACTTATGCATCCATCTCTTACAAGACCATATTTATTAGCAGAACCTCCCCTTCATACTGACATCATACATTATGAAAATATTCCAAAATTTGAATTGGTTCGGCAGAACATCCTCAGGTAAGGAGAAGGTGAGGGTCATGGTATTTTTTTCTCTGAAAACGGGGCCCACTGAGGTCAAATATGAGTATATACTATAGGATTCCAAGTCAAATGTCTAAATTACTTTTTTTATTTATTTAAGATAGTCTCAAGCCTTCACCCTGGGTAGAATGCTATGGTGTCATAGCTCACAGCAACCCCTAACTCAGGCTCAAGCAATCCTCTTGCCTCAGTTTTTTATTTATTTTTATTTTTTATTTTTTGCAGTTTTTGACTGGGGCCAGGTTTGAACCTGCCACCTCCGGTATATGGGGCCAGTGCCCTAGTCCTTGAGCCACAGGCACTGCCCCAGTTTTTATATTTTTAATAGAGACAGCATCTCACTTTTGCTTAGGCTAGTCTCAAACTCATGAGCTTAAGAAATCCACCCACCTCAGCCTCCCAGAGTGCTAGAATTACGGGACATGAGCCACTGCACTCAGCCTAAATTATTTTAATCTTATCAAAAGTATACTCAGTAATTTTTCCCTAAGAATAATAATAGCCAAGATTTTCCTTGCTTTGTATAACAGATAAGTCTCTTGGAACTATTAGTTGAAGGTGATGTCTTATAAATCAAACTCTATGTTCACATTGACTTTAATGGTAAAATTAGGTATACCTTAGCTCATTTTTTTTTTAAATACTCCAATGATACCAAATTGGAAAATGTTGGCAAAATAATAGTTTACATTAAGCCCCAGCTCTGCTGCATTTCCCAGAACATAGCTTGGCAGATTGGTGTCCATGCTGACAGCACAATCTCACACAACGTTTTCTCTTGAAATAAAAACAGATTGGATTTCTTCCAACCACGATACATTATTTTGGCAGATGGCAACCTATAGAGAAATGTGTCTTTGTGCTTATTGGTTGAAAATTAATGACTGAGTGATTTGAGACAAGTCAGTCTCTGGAAAGAGAACAGTGGAGCAGGGACAGTGAGGAGGAATGTTTTCAGTGCAGAGCTGAGGTGATGCTTTTATGAAATTGAAATCTTATATGATCACTTTCAAAACTGATGAGCTTCATCACTATTCAAAATCAGGAGGTGGTTATTGACTCACAGCTTCTTCCTTCCCTTTAATTAAGTGCTTAATTTTGTCTTTCGCCTAAAGCATTTAATTCTGTTTGCCCACACAGCCTGCCCCTGGGCAGCCAGATTATCACAGTCCCTGTGAACTCATCCCTGTCCTGGCACATAAATAAGCTGAGGGAGGCTGGGAAGGAGGCCTACAATGTCAGCTATGCCTGGAAGATGGTGAGTGGAGAGCTTCACTTCCATGTGAAGAGCCACGGGGAATGGGGCTCTTCTGCACGTGGGGACCCTGGGGCCCTGGGTCTGACATCATGAGGCCAGTTTGTAAGGTGATGGGAGAAAGAGTGAAGACATTCCACAGTCCCTGTAAATACACATTTAGATTATATCAGTTAGTTTTTTATCAGATCAACTCAGACCATGGAGATGGGGAGTTAAAGTAGATATAAAAGTATAAATGCCCTCTGACATTCTCCAAGAAAAGGATTTTTTTTTCTGGAGACACAGTCCCTCTCTGTCACCCAGGCTGGAGTGCACTGGTGTGATCACAGCTCACTGCACCCTCTAACTCTCCTGGGCTGAACTATAGGTGTCCACTACCATACCTGGCTAATTTCTAAATATTTTTTAGTGATAGGATTTCTCTATATTTTCCAGCCTGATCTTGTACTCTTGAATCCTCCCACCTTGACATCCCAAAGTGCTAGGATTATGGGCATGAGCCACCACACTCTGCCAAGGTTTAGATTCCAACTTGAGTTATTCATACTCAACACAAGCAGACTGATCATTTGGCCATAACTGTGGCCCTCATATCAGCTTTCTCATTCAGACTCAGGCCTCCAGGAATCATTAAGAAGCTGAATCTAACACGTCACTGTGTTTCTCTCCTCTGTTCTTCATTACCAACCTCACATGCCTGGTAGGGTCCTAAACATCGTAACTGGCCCAGAAGGATAGTAGACTTTCAATTTATCATCAGATTTTAATCACTAAACATAAATGCAGCCATACTTGATAGTTTATTGAAGGACATATCTGGAATTTAACCTGCTAACTTCAAATGGATCTGCTTACTTATCATTTTATGAACTACATGTTGAACATGCAATGTACACTAAGGGTGAAGAGCGATGCTCTCTGCCCCCAGACAGCGTCCATCCTCATGGGTGTCCACGTGGGATGGGCAGAGCAGGCGTAGCCAGCGTGCCTCTAGCATGAGTCTCCTCCAGCCTTATTTGGTTCTTAGTATGTCATGACAGCAATGGGAGTTACGAAAATGAAGCAAAATAATAAATGAAACTTATGTTTACAAGCTCAATTCTCTAGTATTTTATTGTTTGGTGATACAAATTTGGGGAAGGTCAAACTCTATTTGAAATTCTTAGAGCTGCCTCATTTTCAGAATTTATTTTTTAGAATGATAATTTTATTTTTTTATTCACATGTGGAATTTATTTGTTTGGGATCATGAGAGTACAAAGAATTTGGTTACATTGATTGTATTTGTTACATAAAGTCCCTTTTATAATTGTGTCTCACCCCCAAGAGATATGTCACACACCATGGCCCCAGATCCCTTTCCTTCCTCCCCTCTCCCTACTCTCATTCCCTTACCCCCCCTCCCCTTGTATTAGCTCATCTACTGTCCTCACATTAGAATTGAGTACATTGGATTCTTGCTTCTCCATTCTTGTGATGCTTTACTAAGAAAAATGTGTTCCACTTTCATTCAGGTTAATATAAAAGATATAAAGTCTCTGTCTTTTTAATGGCTTAATAGTATTCCATGGTACACATATACTACTGCTTGTTAATCCATTCCTGAGTTGGTGGGAGTTTAGGTTGTTTCCACATTTTGGCGATTGTAAATTGAGTTGCAATAAATAGTGTAGTGCAAATGTCCTTATGATAAAAGGATTGTTTTTCTTCTGGGTAGATGCCCAGTAATGAAATTGCAGGATCCAATGGGAGTTCTGATTTGAGTTCTTTGAGGATTCTCCATACTTGTTTCCAAAGAGGCTGTCTTACCAAAGACTTACATTTACTTTGCAATGTAAAAGTGTTCCCTTCTCTCTATATTTATGCCAGCATCTATAGCTTTGAGATTTTGTGATGGGGACCATTCTTGCTGGGGTTAAGTGATATCTCTGGGTAGTTTGATTTGCATTTCTCTGGTGATTAGGGACAATGAGCATTATATGTTTGTTAGCCGTTCATCTGTCTTCTTTAGAGAAGGTTCTATTCATGTCTCTTGCCCTGTGATATATGGGTTGTTTAGTCCTTTTTTGTTGATTAATTTGAGTTCTTTGTAGATCCTAGTTATCAAGGTTTTGTCTGATTCATAATATACAAATATCTTTTCCCACTCTGAAAGTTGTCTGTTTGCTTTGGTTGTTGTCTCCTTCGCTGTACAGAAGCGTTTCAGTTTAATTAAGTCCCATTTGTTTACTTTTGTTGTTGTTGCAATTGCCACAGAAGCTGCCTTCATAAAATCTTTTCCCCGGCCAATATCTTCAAGTGATTTCCCCACACTTTCTTCAAGGATTTTTATTGTTTTATGTCTTAGGTTTAAATCTTTTATCCATCTTGAATCAATTTTTGTAAGTGGTGAGAGGTGCGGGTCTAGTTTCAGTCTTTTATGTGTGGTTATACAGTTCTCCCAGCACCATTTACTGAATAGAGATTCTTTTCCCCAGTGTATATTCTTGTTTTGTTTATTAAAGATAAGGTGACTGTAAGAGGTTAGTTTTATCTCATGATTTTCTATTTAGTTCCAAATGTCAGTGCCTCTATTTTCTGTGCGAATACCATGCTATCTTGATCAGTATGGCCTTGTAAAATAGTCAAAAGTCTGATAGGGTGATACCCCCAGCTTTGTTTTGATTATTAAGAATTGTCTTGGCTATACAGGGTTTTTCTGGTTCCATATAAAATGAAGAATTATGTTTTCCAAATCCTGAAAGTATGATGATGGTATTTTAATGGGGATTGCACTAAATCTGTAGATTGCTTTGGGTAGTTTAGACATTTTTACAATGTTGATTCTTCCCAGCCATGGTTTGTTCTTCCATTTGTTAATATTTTCTCCTATTTCTTTTCTTAGGATTTTATAATTTCTTTGTAGGAAATTATGAAATTTCACCTCTTAGGTATATTCCTAGGTTTTTCATTTTCTTTGAAGCTACTGCGAAGGGAATTATGTGCATGATTAACTTCTCATCTTGGCTGTTATTGGCATATGCAAAGGCTACTGATTTGGGATATTGACTTTGTATCCTGATATGTTGCTGTATTTTTTGATCACTTCCAGGAGTCTTGTGATTGAGTCTTTGGGCTTCTCTTAGACCATATCATCAGCAACAAGCAAGAGTTTGACCTCCTCTGCACCCACTTGGATGCCCTTTATATCCTTCTCTTCCTTGATTATATTGCCTAGAACTTCCAGCACTATGTTGAATAGTAGTGGTGGTAGGGGACAACCTTGTCTGGTTCCAGTTCTAAGTGGAAAAGCTTTCAGTTTTACACCCATTCAGTATAATATTACCCACGGGTTTGTCATAGATGGCTTCCATCAGTTTAATAAATGTGCCACCTATGCCTATATTCTTAAGTGTTCTAATTAGACAAGGATGCTGGATTTTATTGAGTGCTTCTTCTGCATCTGTTGAGAGGATCATATAGTCTTTGTTTTTGCTCCTTTTGATATGGTAAATTACATTTATAGACTTGCGTATGTTAAACCAGCCTTGCATCCATGGGATAAAACCTACTTGATCATAATGAATGATTTTTTTTATGAGTAGCTATAATCAGTTGGCTAGGATTTTATTGAGAATTTTTGCATGTATATTCATTATTGAAACTGGTCTGAAGTTCTCCCTTTTAGTTGGGTCTTTTCCTGGTTTTATCAGGAAAAGACCCAACTTTATCTTTTCCCATTCTGAAAGTTATCTGTTTGCTTTGGTTGTTGTCTGCTTCGCTATACAGAAGCTTTTCAGTTTAATTAAGTCCCATTTGTTTACTTTTGTTTTCAGTTTAATTAAGTCCCATTTTGATACTTTTATATCAGGGCGATGTTTGCTTCAAAGAATGTGTTGGGGGAAGATTCCTTCCTTCTCAACTTTTTGAAATAATTTCTGCAGCATAGGTGTAAGCTCTTCTTGGAGGTTTAATAGAATTCTGGTGTGAAACCATTTAGACCAGGGCATTTTTTTGTTCAAAGATTTTTTATTATTTCTTTGATCTCAGTTCTTGAAATCATCTGTTCAAGAGATCTATTTCTTCTTGGTTAAGTCTAAGGAGAGAGTGTGATTGCAGGTATTGTTCCATATCCTCCACATTGTCAAATTTCTGGACATGGAGTTTCTTGTAGTACTCAGAGATAATCTCTCTATGGTATCTGTTGTTATTTTCCCTTTATCATTTCTGATTAAGGTTATTAGAAATTTTACTTTTCTATTTCTAGTTAATCTGGCCAAAGGTTTATTGATTTTATTAATTTTTTCAAAAAACCAACTTTTTGTTCTGTTAATTTCTGGATGAATCCTTTTTTTCAATTTCATTAATCTCTGATTTAATTTTGATTATTTCTTTTTTACTGCTGGGTTTGGGATTAGATTGCTCTTCTTTTTCCAATTCCATAAGATGGTTCATGAGTTTGTTGATGCATCCTCTTTTTGTTAAGCATCTAATGCAATAAATTTCCTTCTTAAAACTGCTTTTATTTCTATCCCATAGGCTTTGGTAACTTGTGTCTTCATTGTTGTTGTGTTTGAGGAGTTTAACAGTTTCATCTTTTATCTCTTCCTGAACCCAACTGTCATTCAGCATGAGGTTGTTTAATTTCCATGTCTTTGTGTGGGATTGAACGTTTTTGTTGGAGTTCCACCTTTATATCCTTGTGGTCTGAGAAGATACAAGATATAATTTCTATTCTTTTAATTTTGCTCAGGTTTGATTTGTATCCTAGCATGTGGTCTGTTTTGGAGTAGTACCAGGGGCTGATGAGAAAAATGCATATTCTTTAGCTTCGGGATGATGTATTCTCTATATTTCTATTAATCCCATTTGTTCTAGGATCACATTTAAGTCCTTTGTATCTTTGGTTTCTGTTGAAAAGATCTGTCCTGTTCTGTCAGAGGGATGTTAAAGTCCCTGGCTATAATAGTGTTGTGGAATACCATATTGTCAGACCTAAGTTCTGCTTTATAAATCTGGGA